TTTTTTAAATGGACACATATTGATTGTACATATTTATGGTATGTATAATTAATGGTTTTTAGTATCATTTTCTGTTATTTGTATATATTCCCATTCTGTGATAATTCTGGATATGTGTTTGGCTTAATAATTGTTGTAAAATGACATGCTTAGTGTATACACATAATGGGTGTAATATGTGTACTTGTTTTTTTAATATATCTGGAATAGTTTGGGACATGACCCATGAACACTTTAAACTTAATTGCTTTAAAGAATTTGTAAAATATGTGTGTGTGTATCTGTATGTATTTGTGTGTGAAATCTTCAATATGTAGTGATGCAGATTTTTAAAATTTTATTATAGAAATCTACAAATGTATACAAAAGTAGAGACATGGTATTTTATAATGAGTTATTAAATACAGATATATGAAAGAGAGAATAATATAATAATCCCTTCTACCCATGTATTTACATAGCTTCAGGAATTATCAACATATGACCAATTTTGCCTCATCTTCTGCGTCTTCCACTACATTATTTATTTATTTGGCAGCTGGCTAGTATGGGGATCTGAACCCTTGACCTTGATATTACAGCATTGAGCTCTAATCACCTGAGCTAACCAGCCAGCCCCACTACATTATTTTAAAGGAAAATCCTGATATCATCCTGTTTCATTTGTAAATACTTCAATATGTAAATCTAAATCATGGGTTGGCAAACTTTCATTAAAAGATCAGATAGTAAATGTTTTAGTTTTTTCAGGGGATATGGTTACTATCATAACTTCTCAATTCTGCTATTGTAGTGCAAAAGCAGCCATAGACAATAAATAAATAAATGACCATGTCTGTGTTTCAGTAAATCTTTATTTGTGGGCACTGAAATTTGAATTTCATATAATTTTCACATCAGGAAATATTCTTTTGATTCTTTTTTTCTCAACCACTTAAAAATGTAAAAACTGTTTCTTAGTTTGTGGGTTGTACAAAAACAGATTTAGTTTGCTGACCCCTCCTCTAAAAAGATAAGGTCCCTCTTTCTCTCTTTTTTTCTAAAAAGAAAGGATAAAGACAATATCATTACACCTAAAACAAAACAAAACCTAATTTCTTATTATCAACTATCCAGTGAATTCAGAATTACCCAATTGTCTCATAAATCTTTTTTTTACAGTTTGTTTGAATTGTGACCCAAACAAGGTCCATATGTCTTTCAATCTATCAGTTTCTTTTGGGTATTTTTCCCTTGCTGTTTGAAATTATTTTATCTGTAGAATTTCCCGTGTTCTGAGTTTTGCTGTTAAAGTCTTGTTTCCTTTAACGTGTTCTTTAGTTACCCGTATTCTCTTGTAAATACAGGGAACTGAGGAACATTCCTACAGTTTCTTATAAACTGTTAGTTAGATCTAGAAGCTTTATCAGGTTCAGATTCAAGTTTTTGGCAAGATTATAGGTGGTATTTTGTACTTTCTGTTGTATCACATCCGGAAGCACATATCTTTGTGATGTTAAGATTGATTAGTGGATTCAAGTGTTCATCCATTCATTATAAAGTTCTCATCAGCCTTTTACATAATGGTAATTTTTAGTAGTTGTTGATAATCATTGCCTAGATACAGTATTTCATTAAGGTTTACAAAATTATTGTACTCTAATTCTACCATTATTTCTGCATTTTAATAGCTAGCATTTTCCTATACAGATCTTTCCACATCAACTCTTTGGTTACCATGTGGGACTTTTTATATAGAAAAGACAGAATACATGCTTGTATGGCCCCTTCTCCCACCTTATTTACTGGTTTTGAAAGGTTCCCTAACTTTTTTTTTTTTTTGGATTCTCAAATTGTTCCATATCTGGTTATTGGAAACCTCTTTAAATTGGCTCGTGTGACCTTTTGATAAGACCTTCAATAGTCTGCTTTCTTGTACTCCAAAATGTTCTAGTTTCACTTTGTGCAGTTCTTGCTCTAGAGCTGAAACCAGCAATTTCACCAAGAAACCCTTTTTTTTTTTCTTTTACTTGGAAATTAGAAACCTCAGTTTGGGCTCTAATGGTGCTCACCA